CAGGCCCAGGGAGAACATGCAAACTCCACACAGGGAGGCCGGAGATGGAATTGAACCTGGTACCTCTGCACTGTGAAGTCAACACGCTAACCACTGGGCCGTCCTGCACATTTTAAATATTTTTTAACAGTAAGAAAGAGTTGTTGGGTGTGGGGGTAGAGGGGGGAGCTACTAGATTGGCAACACTGAATGTCCACTCCCTTCATCACATTCCCTACTTCTGCTGCATCCATCATGGTCACGAAAGCTATACAACATTTACTTGAGACAGAACTGCGCCTCCAAACTGAGACATTTGAACCATAGTGTGACAAGCGGATATTACGTAAGTTGTAATTCTTTGTCTATTTTGGCACGGGATGGTCGAGTACTGATACCAGGTTTCGGTATCTCATTCTGATACCACCAAGATAGTGTATTTTTGATCTAATAATACACATTTGAGCAGAGAAAACAAGTTCTCCATATCTTAATAGTAGGCTCTGAAGCTCATTTCAAGCTGGCACAATGCGGAGGATATTACGTAAGTTGTAATTCTTTGTCTATTTTGGCACGGGATGGTCGAGTACTGATACCAGGTTTCGGTATCAGGCCGATACAAGCCTTATTTCAAAGTATCCAAACTCGCAGAGGCCGCTGATACCAGTCGACGATACCAGTCACTGCTGCCCTCTCGTGGCCGTTCTACTATTAGGAAGTAAATGGCATGCATTGCTGACAGAATGTTTTTCTAAACTCTAAGATCTGAACTCCATCCATAGCCATCCATAGCCAGCTGTATTGATCTGCAGTAGCTGGACAAATTCCCCTGGCTTAGACATACTAACGAAGGTGTAAAATATACCACCTGCATTGTGCCATCTTGAAATTAGCTATTAAGATGTTCAGATCTTAGAGTTTAGAAAAACATTCTGTCAGCCATGCATGCCATTTACTTCCTAATACTGTAGTAGAACGGCCACAAGAGGGCAGCAGCGACTGGTATCGTTGACTGGTATCAGCAGCCTCTGCGAGTTTGGATAGCTTGAAATAAGGCTTGTATTGGCCTGATACCGAAACCTGGTATCAGTACTCCACCATCCCTAGTCAAAATAGACAAAGAATTACAACTTACGTAATATCCACTTGTCACACTATGGTGCAAATGACTCCGTTTGGGGGTGCAGTTCTGTCTCATGTAAATGTTGTATAGCGTTCGTGACCATGATGGATGCAGCAGAAGTAGGGAATGTGATGAAGGGAGTGGCCATTCAGTGTTGCCAATCTAGTAGCCCCCCCTGCCCCCCCACCCCAAAAAAAACAACTCTTTAGTGACTATTAAAAAATATTTAAAATGTGCAGGGCGGCCCAGTGGTTAGCGTGTTGACTTCACAGTGCAGAGGTACCGGGTTCAATTCCATCTCCGGCCTCCCTGTGTGGAGTTTACATGTTAAATGTTCTCTTTCAGTAAATTGCCATTCGACAAAAATAAAATGTTAAATAATAAAACACATGTTTCTGTAAATGATTTACCGGTGGTTGTTTAAGCCAGTGGGGTCCAACGGCCAAAAAGGTACCACCTTTACCTTAATTTGAGCCAAGAAAAACACCCTGAAGCCTACACCGCACTGCGAGACAATGAGAGGAATTTCCTGAGCAAACAGACTCTTATGGCGATGTTGTACTTCTTCAGCTGTGACCCAGGCTATTTGAGCAGACAGGTATCAGAACAGCAGGTGCGCCATGTCACAAAGCCCACACGTGTCTAAGAACTCCCTGAACTTGCATGATTAAACACCCCGCCGTGTTGAATGTTTCAAGCACGATGCCCCTTAAAAGGTGAGAATACGGAATGCATTGCCACTCTCACCGATGCCGTGCCGCCTGTGGTGCTCTTGCATGACGTCTTTGCGGTAGAACATCTTGTTGCAGATTTCACAGGAGTAGAGCTTCTCTCCGTGCTTCTTCTTGTGCTTGGACAGGTTGCTGTTAGTGGAGAAGAAGCGGGAGCAGATATCGCACTGGAATGTCTTGTCATCTGGAGAAAAGCGGGATGGTTTAAGCAATTCATTTTGTTGTCTGGAGAAAAGATGATGATAATACAATTCATTTCATATTCATGCACTGCGGGTTGGCTGGCAAACACTCCAGGGTGTGTGTGCTCTTGTCTTCGCACCCAAGCAGGCATAGGCACCAGCCTATTGGGCCCTAAGACATATTGTCTAGAAAATGAATGGATGGATTTAATCCTACGAGAGAGACTGACTTGGGCCATAACCCGAGAAAATATGCAAATGAATGCACTTGATATTTTGAATGATCAAATATTATAAAAATAATATCCAGTTCATTCACAATAGAAACGCAAAATAAATCTGATTCTGTACTGTACTGAATGACACTAACACATTTTTTTAGTTTATTCCAGATTATGAAGCATGAAGGGCAGAATATGTACACCCTGAATTTATCACAAGTATATTAGAATGAAAAGGGTATTGAGTTTTCCTTTTTATTTTGGACCGTCTATTTAACAATTCGATCAATACACTGAGCATGCGCTGAATAGAGGCCCATTGGCAAGTCTCTATAGGTTTTTCATTCAAAAAAAAAAAAAAAAAAGGGAACAGAACACACATACCTGTCCTGCAGTTGTGGAATTTTAAGGCATTTTCCAGGCGGAAGGATTTTTCACAAGTGTTGCATTTATATTTGTATTCTAGGTCAGGCTGTTCGATGCACAAAAACAAAACAAAGCAAAACATGTTTTTTAACAAGCTGTTTAAAGAGAGAAGCTAATTGTCCATTGAAATATTTATGCATCATCACCCACCGCATTTTTACTGTGCTTGTAAGAGATGTGCTGCTTCAGACTCTCCTTTCGACTGAACAACTTGTCACACTCGTCACACTTAAACAGTTTATCACCTAGAGACATGAAATATGAAGATTTTAAATTGTATTTCCTGAATAGAGGCAAGTGACTAATCACCATTACCAAAGCCAAAGCAAAAGTGTCCCAGTACCGTGTGATCGGATATGTCGGTTCAGGTTACTGCTGTTCTGAAAGACCTTGTTGCACAGGGAGCAGCGGTACACCCTCTTGTGCTCTCGACCTTTGTGTCTCTTGTGCGTAATCCCGGCATCTGAAGCCCCAAGATGTCGGCTTTTCTCTGGAGCAACTGCTAACTCGGAAACAAGCGACTCTGGGCTCGCCACGGGTGGCTTCACATCTGCACATGTGAAGAAAAGCAATGGAGAAATCCATATTGTATATTGTCAAGATTGACGCAAAACTCTGGAAATGTTTCATGTAATTACAACAATGATAACTAATTAGGTGAGTGTCATCCATTTTGCTTATTGAAAAGACAACCAAAAGCAAAAATGTTGCAATAATATGTTCTTTGTGCCCCCATTATAAAACACTATATTCTGATCGATATTCCATAAGAATTAAGAAAATTAATCCATCCACTTGAATACATCTCGGGGGGCTGCCATTTCAGCCTTCTACTGCCTCAGCTGTTGACTGAAATTTAAGTCCAACTAGGGAGGGGATGAACATTATTGCAAAGACAATTTTGCCTTGAGTTACATGATGTCATTTACACACATAGGTGCACACAAAATTCATTCTTCCCTCGGCGTTCCTCCTTGGTAATTTCGACGTGCACTTCTACCACCATTCACAGAAATACTCAGCAGCTTTAGCGTTACTCAACATGTCAACTTAACCACCCATGCTCTGGACCTCATCTGCTCTCTAGGATTCAGTTCAGACCATTTCTCTGGCTCCGATCCAACGATAACGGCACATTCATCTCAATCAATAACTTCCCATCCCAGACTGCCCCAATACCCCTATGGTGTCCCCCAAGGATCAATGCTCATCCCTCTCTGCATCATCTTCTACCTGTCTCCTTGTCCTCTTGAGAAGACAGACCAGAAACAACAACAGCGCAAACATTTTTAACACATCCGATTCATATTATAGAAATGGTATAGAACAACAATTGTCAATGATGCTGCATCACTGGCAGATACGATAGACAAAGCGGCATATGACTTCTCTTTTCCTCACCTTTACTCCTGCTTGCGCAGGCAACAGGTCGAGTCCTGCACCCTTTGGCTTTCCTTCCACGAGTTAGCCCTCTCTTCACAGGAGGCTGAGCAGCGGCAGATTGAAGCTCCTCGCTGGGCCCCGCTGTGCTCTCCTCCTGTGGTCGTAAGGAGTCTTCTGCAAGCTCAGTGGAGGCTGTCACCTGCCTGACAGCTTCTGTCGTGTGAGATAAGAGCCGAGAAAAACAAACGCCAACGAACAGAGTGACTAAAAACCGCATCGTTATTACACATAAACAAAGACCCAGTGGTCTGGACCATTTGTGAGCACATCGTTTTAAGTAGAGAGTCAATGTGACCTGCTTTCTTATTTAGGATGCTCACAAAGAAAGGTTCATAACACCTTCTCCAAGGTAAAAAATGAGCCTGTTTGAGATCAAATTTAAAGCTTTTCCAGCACCTAATACCTGTTGTTTCTAATTCATAGTTCATACCGGTAATGTTGATCATTTACCAAGCAATGGCATTAAATTGTACACATTCATCCACTTTCTCGACCGGTTATCCCGTTCGGGGACAGGGCGAGCTGCAGCTGGAGCTAGCTTACTATAGATGGAAAAACAGTCTACACCCTGGACTGGTCACCAGTCAATCACCAGACACAAAGAGTCAACCATCCATTCACATTCACACCACCGCTGAGCGCAAACTGAACTCGCCCTCACTTTCTGTGCAGAAGTCAGGCGAATGAACCACGGCACTGTCATGACTAAATAGTTCCCACATTTTAAAAAAATTGAAATATGGCTTACAATAAACGCGGGTTTATGCCTGTTTGATGGTCAACAGGCAAACTATTGACTCAGATTATAAAAAGTCAAGGATTTCAAGCACCCTTTGGAACACAGTGAAAAGTATTACTATTATCTAACTGCATCTATAATTTTTAAGGATTGGCTTTATGACTCCTTGCACTGTCTTTATAACACAGGAAGTTATGATAGCCTCCCACTACATGCATTTCCATAGAGACCGAGCTAGTACTATCCACACAGTCACTTACATAGTAGCTCAGAATTGTTAGAACTGGATTACCTGCGTTTTTGAAGTTCATCACAGGAGGTGGAGAGGAGCTAGTTTTGACGTACGTCTCTGTACAGATCCAGAAGACAGTAAGAAACAACTACCTGGTTATTATCGAAAATACCATTCAAACATCATAAATAAAATGTTACGAACCTCGAGGTGGCAGTGGCTGAACTGGAAGCTTGAGCAAAGGCTTCTCCATCTTTTTGGCATAGAAAGCTCCATACCAGACCCTCAGCTCTGCTCCTGGCAGCACATCCTGCTCAACAAACGGCAGAAGCAGAAAGGATGAGCTTTTTCTGTACACACACACGCACACAAGGCTATTGAGATTGAGTGTGCATGCAAACCTGGGATGTGTTGAAAAACACCTCATCGTCCTGCTGGTAAGCTGTTAAATTCTGGTGTTGGTGATCTGTGGCAGGTCGTACCAGCATCATCCAATTACAGTCATCTTCACTACTGCAGTCAAAACACACCACTAGCCCATCCTTCTGGAATATCTGCTCATCCAAGGGGAGAGATATGGTGAGACCAAAGTCGCAAACTGCAAATATCTCAGAAATCACATGAACATACTTTCAAGGGAAACAATCCTTCTTTGTCTAAAATGGGGACGCGCTTCGCCTCAAAGGGCCCAAAACGAGTCCTTTTGACGAGACGTCGCTGGACGAAAACTCCCTCGCCGCCTTCTGCCACTGGCCTGATCTCCAGGCTATTTGGAATTGAGGAACTGAAACAGGATTGAAGTCAAGTACATTTTTTTTCTTAAATTGGACCTGCGCTTCTTCAAAATTGGGTACACCAGGACATTATGATGAGAGCTAATACAAAAGAGCGATCAAAAATATTGCTAGGAACCGAGTTTTGATAGACATTATCGGAGCTGCAGTAATGTAGTGATAGATGCTATTGTGTGTGCGTGGTTTGCAGTAATGATGAAGTGTACTGCCTCATACAGACAGCTATTTCTTCTGTAATACAGTATCTTACGTACCTTAATTAGTGTTGTGATTATTTTATGTTAATGCCTGTTAAATTGTCACATTTTTTTTCCATATTAAAATGCATCCTTTTAGCCTAGATTTGTAAGCCAAGTGGAGTTTTTTGACATTATTGGCGATATGTATAGTGATTTTAAAGGGACAAATTGGGTGTGGAAGACTTTGTTTAAAATCAATTTGACAAATTAATCTTAAAACTGACTCGTGTGATATATAGAGGCTGCAGAAAATAAGACCGCTTCACCAAGCATCTCTATTATTGTTAAAGTACAGTACTTCTTTATTACAGGATTGTGAAAATACAGCATGTACCAAATGAAATGTCCAGTGAGTGTATACGTGCGTGTGCATGATGAGACTTGTACATCCACATAATTAGTTTTATACTTGTGCTTGAAATTAAAAATCAGCCTATCATAGACTAGATTTATAATATGACCCATTGAAAGGTTTGGAAGTTCTGTACAGTGAGGTTAGATGTCAGTTTCACACTTCTACTTGTTTTACTATGCAAAACTCAAATAAAGAGAGTGATGAATTCCAGTCATGTTTAATTAGGTGCATGCTCACCGGGCCCGACTGAGGACAAAAGAGTCCTGGACGGTCACCAGGGGTCCTAATTCGGGGCACTCAGAGTCATGGTACTGCCCACAGTCCTCACACCCTGTATCACACACACACACAGAAACCACACCTGTCAATGTATAAATATGCAAGCACACACACACACACACACACACACACACACACACACACACACACACACACACACACACACACACACACACACACACACACACACACACACACACACACACACACACACACACACACACACACACACACACACACACACACACACACACACACACACACACACACACACACACACACACACACACACACACACACACACACACACACAAACACACTCCCATTGTGACACCTATACCATTTTGAAGGGGATCTATACTCACAGATGCACTCCTCTGGAGTCTGAGCAGCCATTCTGTAAACCTATCAACAAATAAAGGGAACGTTGAAACAAGTAGGGAGCCAAAGAGTTGGCAGTTGTCATATGAGAGGGAAAAAAACCCAGACGGCCTATACTGATATAAATGAAATGATGCGTCTGCAAATATATTCAGTGCGGGCTATGGAGCTGTACTGAATGCCCAAACAAAACAGTATTTTGACAACATGAACCAAGTGACATAGTTGCAGGCAACATGTTAACGTGTACAGTCCGAGTAGATCCAGGATTTCAACTGCTCCCAAAGTGTAGCCGGGTTTTAACTCCGATCTGAGCGTCTGGTCTCGAACAAAAATGTAACAAAGAACAGGCGGCATGGCGGATGGACGGGAGACGCAAAGCGCCAAACCGGAGTCGCAGTGCCTCGCGTCCAGCAAACAGCAATGGAGACGACAAGGGAAACTCGCAACGAATCAAACAAACCGCCTACACGTTTTCTATTCAACTGTGGCAAGAATTTGCCGGAGCGCGACGTACATTGAGGGTGATATATCTTACCTTTTCTGCAAAAGACACTTCATTTATCAAATCCTGACTCCGGGTTCCAATCCGCTCCAGAAACGGCGCAGGACCGGAAATGAGGCGCCTGTTGCATTGTGGGAGTTGAAGGCAAATTTGAATTTATCCACCGTTGAACGTTAATTTTGGTAATGTCAACGTAGTGGAATTCTAATTGAGCTTTTAAATTAAAATTATTTAAATGTTAATTTATTGTAATACAATTTACAATGTATGTATAACCGTATCACATACTTACACTATAGTAACAAATGTTTATAATAAATTATGGTACAGGGAGTTCTTGGTTTAACATAGTTTCGAGAAAAACACAGCATCGTGAAGTTATAAACGGTACGTTTGACATCGTCCAAAGTACGATACACTTTCTCACCAGATGTATGACAAAAATTCAAAACACACTGTACCCCCCCCCCCCGTGCAAAGTGCTCTTGTATAAAATCTACCTTTCCGAAGACAACACAAAACTGCTTAACAAGAAACCAAAATGAAGTGCAAGAACTCATTTTTTTAATTTTTCACAAAACCCAACTCACTCAAAAATGTATTATTTCGGTACTATGTTTGTCTTACATATTGGCATTATCAGAATTTTGGGGGTTTGCAAAAAAATTTTTAAAAATCCCCCAAACATTTTTTTTAGTTTATATCAAAGGGGCACTCAGTATGTAAGTCTGCCCTTGGGCTGCCAGTTGCCCATACCTGATCTATACTGTATCTATATATGCTTGTAAATGTCATGAGAAGTGCAATCAATACAACAACCACCCAATTAGTATTTATTGCCGAAAATATAATGATTTGACATGGTTTATTCTGGAGCAGTAGTACAGCTGATCTATTCCTGTGCACATGCCACACAAAAGTTCCAAACCACAACAAAAAATAAAAATAAACAGCCCTTTTGTTTAGTAAGTAGTGCAAACAGGTTACTGACACTTGGCAAAAGTTAACACCTTTTTTCCCCCTAAGAAGCAGGAGTGACTGCCGGTAGAGCATCGCCTAAGGCGATTCGCCTATAATGGGATAAGGGCCCACCTTGCATAATTTAGGACAAAGAAGCACCCCTATTCTGTTCCTGCAGTGGAAACATCATGAAAAGCAAATGAGTTTCAACAAATATTCAACTGCATCAACACGGCAGTCCAAGTTTTCCGAGGTGCATAGGCTTTTTGATGCAATTGGGGATGATGTAGGTACACAGCTGAATGTCCGTCTCAGTTCTTCCTTCAGTGCTCCCAATGATCGAGCCAAAAGCTGAGTCACGTTCTTTTCTAGAGCGCATTTGTGGCAAAATGTATAGAACTACTGTAAGGCAATCTTAGCACTGCACATTCTTTTGCATCTTACTAATGAAAGAATGAAGGTACAGTAGTCACCACAGCCTGCGGACACGCCTTTTACATGAATGATACAAAATAAAAGATACAATCATAAGCCGGATTTCTTTATGAAGATGTTCAATCGTGTTCAAAGATACAGGATGTTAAAAACAATGCATTATGCGCGGGACAGTGGCTATCAAGCCAAGGAACTGGAGGGTTAAATTGAAAACTTTTTGTTTTGGTGTGTGACACACAATTAGCGTAGTTTCAGTGAGTGATGTCACAGTTGCAGGGTGAAGGTCAGAGAGGGTAATTTTAGCGTACATCATAAAAGTAAAAAGTGTTGGGAAGATGCAACACATTTGCATTTTCCAAAACACAAAAAGACACACGTTATCCTAGCAACAGTGTTGTGAGTTTGTATCTATATCTCGGACATTGATTTTCATATTTTATTGTAATTCTTTTTTTTAATTCCACTCTATTTAACATGGTGATAATGCATGGCTGATACTTCTTTTGATATGTTATAGGTGTTTCTGTATTTGCAAATCACACACACACACTGACCTCTGAGTACAACTTAAAAGAAATACCTTGATGCATACTAATGTGTTTAATTACCATATTTGGTAGAATAGTATTTGTGCTCAGAAGTAGTCATACAACTTACACCGAAAATCCGATGCAATGCATCATCTCCCTTTGTGAATAATTTCGCGCAGTCATTGCACTGAAAATAGAAAATAGCAGTATACTGAAATCTGTGCAAATCCTCCGATCCCACTCTCATCTTCGTCATTGGTTCTGTTGCTCCATCGTACGAAAGCTACGGTTCACAGCAGGGGTGGTTGAAATTTCAAACTCAACATCAGGGAGGTAGAGACAAAGGCCCACATCAGTCCCATCTGTCGGTAACAAGGCCACACAAGCACTCTGAGAAGGCTGCATAAAACCAAATTGAGGAAACATGCACAATATCCTCTGAAATAAAATAAAAGTATGCCCACTCGCGCACACTTGCACTGAAAAAGCATGCAGCAGAAAAAGAGCATCCTCTCCAGTTTTTGTGACAAATAATGCAGGTGCCCCACTATGCTTGGCCAGCCATTGGAAGACGAAAATCCCAACGACGTACACTGTGCAAGTATGAGGTGGTAGTTGTCGAAGGGGGAGGTGTCACGCAGGTGGTTGCCCAATTGAGGCGGCGCCATTGGCTTTACTTTTGCTTTTGCGGCTGAGCATGCGGCTGAGTGTGGCGGTTTTGCTGGCCCGCTCAACAGTGGCAGGAGACTCCAAGTAGACCAGGTCATTGTGCGACTGGCTCATTCCGGGGTCCTTGCGCTGATGCCGCCGCCGGAAGAACAGCTTGGCGCTCTTCTGAAGGAAGCTGCCTATAGTGCAGAGCAGGGGAGAGACTAAGTTTCATCATTTCAGTTTTTTTGTTTTTGTTTTGCGTTAACACAAACTAATGGCATGAGGCACATGAATGCACGTTTGTGTTGAGAAATTCTGGTTACCAATAAGTGCAGTGAACGAACATACAAAATAAATATATGGATACTCCATAGTGAATGCATTTTGTTCAAATATGGTATTACCGGTTTGAACAGCCTTTCAAATATACACACACACACGCACGCACGCAGCCACGCGACTATAAAGGCATACACAGTATAAACAGTGGAGTTGAAAAGTCTACAGAATTTCAAAACTTTTTTCCACTATTAATGTTATCTAGCCAGTACAGCTACACTAAACACTGGAAATGAAAGTTTTCGCAAGTGTGCACACTGTCTGAGTGGGGATGTGGCTTTGTTCAGAAGGATCTGCTCCGACTCAAACTGATGTTAAATGGGAGTCAGCACAAACCTGCCACAATTTAAAGTGCCACTGATTAATCCAAAATAAAGTTCAGCTGTTCTAGAATGCTTTTCCTGACTTTTTTTTTTTTTGCTTTCGAGCAGAAGCAGAAGCCTGACAAAGCTTGGTTTTTGGAACCGTGTGTAACTCCCTTCATCTTGACTATGGCTCCGGTTCCAGTTGAAGTAAAACAGCCCCAAAAAAATGACGCTGCCACTACCACCAGGCTTCACTAGTTATGGTGTTCTCTTGATGATGAGCAGCGTTGTGCGTTTGCCAAACAACACCGGGGTTTTCTCCCACATGCCCACATGAATACTAGTTTAAGGTGTGAGTGAAAATGGTTGTCATTGTGCACTATGATAGAATAGTAAGCACACTAGTTCACTGAGAAGTTCATAAATACATGAAAATATGAAATGAGAAATGCTTTGAAGTCAACAATGTGTTCTACCTACTCAACTACACACAATAAAAACTAGAGTAGTCCTACTATCCACAAGTGGTAACTTACTTATCTGGACATAACGTGCGCTGAGGACTGCTTTCCTCTAAGATGGGGGTAATCATAGCACAAACGGTGAGACAGTGAAGGGGAAAGGGAGAAAAGAAAAGAGACCGTAGAACCAAGAAAAACTGCCAAACAAAAAGTGGTCCAAATCTGCTTTGTAATTTTTTAATTACTGAGCTTGAGATGTAAATAACAATAAACCTCCAAAGTTGAACACAATCTGTTCCAGAATGCTGGTTAACTTCCGAGTCGGTCCAATGTCCGGAGGTGGGCATTCCGTCAGTACTGATAAAAGGTCTGTTCCAAAAAATGATGGACTACGCAATGACGGAAGTGGGTTTTCTTCTGTCTGTGTGATTGTCACTAACTGGGTCAATTACCTATGGACCTCTCAGCCCGTCAATGATGGACGCCCATTTTGCTGACAATTGATAGAAACACATTCTGTGGTGGCATCACAAAAGACAACCCCCCCCCCCACACACAAAACACTGTAGAAGTAATCCTTTAGATCACTGGTGTCAAACTCATGGCCCGGGGGCCGGATCTGGCCCGCCACATCATTTTATGTGGCCCGCGAAAGCAAATCAAAGATGTCAACTTTCATGATGCTTGCTAAAATCTGTACCAAAATTTCAAATTCTCATTCGTAATAAGTAAGTGATATTGTAAGCATTTTTGTTACCAAACCCCTCATAACAGTAACTTAAATAATAGGTGCATAAACGGTTATTCTTGACTTCTTTATACAGTTTCAGTCATACCGGCCCTCCAAGAGAAACTGTAACTAAAATCAGGCCCGCGACAAAAATGAGTCTGACACCCCCGCTTTAGATGTTCAGTGAATTCAAGTCTCAAGAGAAGCTGGTTCTCGCCTTACATCATTCAATGATGGTTTGAAATTCAACTTTTGTTTGACTCTTGAGGCATATCTTTCCCAAAAAATTCAGATCGAACTCCAACCTGTCCGACTTTTGTTGTATTTGACTTTGGAGGTTAGCGCTGTAGTACAAAATGGAAAATTACACTATGTCTCACCTCTTCTCTTTTTGCAGCTGACCTCCGGCACACACATGGAGAGTGAGGTATGATTTAGATCCTCTCCCGTGTTGCTCTCCCAATTCTCGGGAGGACGGCCCACTCCGCTGGGACCATCCTCGTGTTCCGAACCCTCCGGCGGGCTACTGGTCCCCGACACAAGCGCCGTGGTCATATCCTGAGAGGAGCTTTCGTCTGACATTGAAGCATCCATCGCTGCAGCGTAGCCTGCCATCAGAGCCAGCTCATCATCCTGGGACAATGGGGTCTGGGAAAATAATCATAGTCAAGCGGAAATGCACGTCAACTCTGTTGCTGAG